ACAGATATATATCTGGACCTAGAGTGTCACAGATATACAACTGACCCTAGAGTGTCACAGATATATAGCTGACTCTAGAGTGTCACAGATATATAGCTGACTCTAGATTGTCACAGATATATAGCTGACTCAAGAGTGTCACAGATATATAGCTGACCCTAGAGTGTCACAGATATATAGCTGACCCTAGAGTGTCACAGATATATAGCTGACCCTAGAGTGTCACAGATATATAGCTGACCCTAGAGTGTCACAGATATATAGCTGACCCTAGAGTGTCACAGATATATAGCTGACCCTAGAGTGTCACAGATATATAACTGACTCTAGAGTGTCAAAGATATATAAATGGACCGAGAGTGTCACAGATATATAGCTGACCCTAGAGTGTCACAACAAGTACAAAATTGTCAAAAACAAACAACAAATATAGCAATAAAATGCTTAGCAATTAGACCTGTTTGATATCAAAATACTTGATGAGTGTGTGCACTTTCTGTAGAAACAGAACCAACAGGTGAAAGTGAAACCAAAAGTTGGAATGATGATGATATAGCATCAATCCTTGATGTTATAAACTTTCTACTGAAGCATTTGTAGATACTCTGTTCATTTAGCTTCATTTGTTCTTCATAACCACAAGTTAAGTTTATACCTTGAAAAAGGGAAAGTTAAAAAGAAAGGGGCGCATTTATCAAAAGGGGGCAGTGATAAAAATAAATATGGTAGCTGTCTCTAGGGTGTTATATACATATACATGGATGACCATGAATTGTATAGGTAAAGCTTTCCTGCCAATCAGTTATCGGACAGAAGAAGAGAACGTGATTATGATTGACACTGTGTCCTAAACTATTAGTGGAATTTCAGTGTGACCCATCTGTCTATTGATTAAATACTGGGTATTGTATTTTCTTTCAATCTATTTTACAGCTTGAGAGAGTATTGATTGTTAGAAGTGACGACATTGACACAATTTGTGTAAGGTAGATATCCATCAGTAATACTGTCACCATGTACATAGGTAGCAGGTTCAAATGTAATGTAAGATTCATGGTTTTCTACAAGGAATTTGCCTGAAAAATCAATATGTGAAAGAAATTTAAGTGTCCTGGGGATGTGCTGTAAAGGTAGGGTTAAACAACCTTTGTATACTAGTGTCCTGGGGATGTGCTGTAAAGGTAGGGTAAAACAACCTTTGTATACTAGTGTCCTGGGGATGTGCTGTAAAGGTAGGGTAAAACAACCTTTGTATACTAGTGTCCTAGGGATGTACTGTAAAGGTAGGGTAAAACAACCTTTGTATACTAGTGTCCTGGGGATGTGCTGTAAAGGTAGGGTAAAACAACCTTTGTATACTAGTGTCCTGGGGATGTACTGTAAAGGTAGGGTAAAACAACCTTTCTATACTAGTGTCCTGGGGATGTACTGTAAAGGTAGGGTAAAACAACCTTTGTATACTATTGTCCTAGGGATGTACTGTAAAGGTAGGGTAAAACAACCTTTGTATACTAGTGTCCTGGGGATGTGCTGTAAAGGTAGGGTAAAACAACCTTTGTATACTAGTGTCCTGGGGATGTGCTGTAAAGGTAGGGTAAAACAACCTTTGTATACTAGTGTCCTGGGGATGTACTGTAAAGGTAGGGTAAAACAACCTTTGTATACTAGTGTCCTGGGGATGTACTGTAAAGGTAGGGTAAAACAACCTTTGTATACTAGTGTCCTGAGGATGTGCTGTAAAGGTAGGGTAAAACAAACACCTGTTTAACCTTTGTATACTAGTGTCCTGGGGATGTGCTGTAAAGGTAGGGTAAAACAACCTTTGTATACTAGTGTCCTTGGGATGTGCTGTAAATATAGGGTAAAGCAAACACCTGTTTAACCTTTGTATACTAGTGTCCTGGGGATGTGCTGTAAAGGTAGGGTAAAACAACCTTTGTATACTAGTGTCCTGGGGATGTGCTGTAAAGATAGGGTAAAACAACCTTTGTATACTAGTGTCCTGGGGATGTGCTGTAAAGGTAGGGTAAAACAACCTTTGTATACTAGTGTCCTGGGGATGTGCTGTAAAGGTAGGGTAAAACAAACACCTGTTTAACCTTTGTATACTAGTGTCCTGGGGATGTGCTGTAAAGGTAGGGTAAAACAATCACAACCTTTGTATACTAGTGTCCTTAGGATGTGCTGTAAAGATAGGGTAAAACAACCTTTGTATACTAGTGTCCTGGGGATGTGCTGTAAAGATAGGGTAAAACAACCTTTGTATACTAGTGTCCTGAGGTTGTACTGTAAAGGTAGGGTAAAACTACCTTTTCAACCTTTGCTTCACTTACACAATGGATTGAATTGCACAATTGCGATTGGTCTTTAGGTGTACAATGTATCAGAAAATCTATTGGGTTATTACTGATACCTTGCAGACTGTAATAAATATCACCGACTGTGATATTGCTGAGTGTCAGGTCCCTGATGAGTCAGATGTTAGTGTTGGATCTCAGTAATTAGCTACAGATATGACAAGGTGATTGGATTCTGAAGGATTTGTCCAATGGCTATTGTGGATGAGAGGGATCCCCCTAATGGTAGGCCCTTACCTGTCGTGATGACCACTGTTGTATTGACAGGGTGGGACTGCTGGACAGGTGATAGGGAAAGTAAACAATTAGCAGTATGTCATCATTAGTGTGTAGAGTGGGTCACTGTGTGATCAGGTATGTCACAAGTGGAGACAGTATGTCAGAACAGTCAGGTAGGTTAAGATTTCAGTTCTTATCAAGTTTTTCGTATTTAAATATCTTTTTAAACTTTTTGAAAATATATATATCATTTGTAGATTAAAATATGTGAACTTAGGTCCTACTACATATGACATTCACAAGAAAAGCATACAATTTATACAATGTAGATACGTTCCCTGAGAAGTAAACTGAATCACTGATTGTAAATAAGACATCCTCCATGTCGTTAAAGTTCACAGAGACTACAGCAAATGATCTGCAATCATGCATAGTCTATTCTACAAGGAGCTATAGAGATAAATTGAACAACATTTTCCCATATTATTCAACATTTTCTAAATGTATCCATTTTGAGGAAAGATGACTCAATATTAGATGAAACCATTAAGTCACAATATGTATCTTTATGTGTGTAAGGAGGGCAGACAATTCAAGATTGTTTATTAAAGGAAACTTTATCATCAAGTTATTAGGAATCAGTATCATTAGACAATACCTGTGTCGTTAGTGTTAATTCGTTAGTGTATGTTTGTGTAAAGTCACAGGAATACTAGGTATCCTACAGGTGTGTGTGTACTGTGTGTTAAGTCAGAGGAACATTAGGTATCCTACAGGTGTGTGTTGTACTGTGTGTAAAGTCAGAGGAACATTAGGTATCCTACAGGTGTGTGTGTACTGTGTGTTAAGTCAGAGGAACATCAGGTATCCTACAGGTGTGTGTTGTACTGTGTGTAAAGTCAGAGGAACACTAGGTATCCTACAGGTGTGTGTTGTACTGTGTGTAAAGTCAGAGGAACAATAGGTATCCTACAGGTGTGTGTTGTACTGTGTGTAAAGTCAGAGGAACATTAGGTATCCTACAGGTGTGTGTTGTACTGTGTGTAAAGTCAGAGGAACATTAGGTATCCTACAGGTGTGTGTTGTACTGTGTGTAAAGTCAGAGGAACATTAGGTATCCTACAGGTGTGTGTTGTACTGTGTGTAAAGTCAGAGGAACATTAGGTATCGTACAGGTGTGTGTTGTACTGTGTGTAAAGTCAGAGGAACATTAGATATCCTACAGGTGTGTGTTGTACTGTGTGTAAAGTCAGAGGAACATTAGGTATCCTATAGGTGTGTGTTGTACTGTGTGTAAAGTCAGAGGAACACTAGGTATCCTACAGGTGTGTGTTGTACTGTGTGTAAAGTCAGAGAAATACTATGTATCCTACAGGTGTGTGTGTATTGTGTGTAAAGTCAGAGGAATACTAGTTATCCTACAGATGTGTGTGTTCCATAATCTTGTCATATCGTTATCTTACTTTCTGATTAATACAGGATGTGCATCTTAAGAATATTAATTTTTTAAAATTATTGATGATTATCATAATTGGAATATAATGTTTATGACAGTGAAATATCATCACATTATGTGCAGTGAAAATATCTGTTTCTCTTAGGGTACGGTACCAAAGAACATCAATGTGGGTAGAGACTGAAAATGTCTGTTTCTCTCAGGGTGCAGTACCAAAGAACGTCAATGTGGGTAGAGACTGAAAATGTCTGTTTCTCTCAGGGTGCAGTACCAAAGAATGTCAATGTGGGTAGAGACTGAAAATGTCTGTTTCTCTCAGGGTGCGGTACCAAAGAACGTCAATGTGGGTAGAGACTGAAAATGTCTGTTTCTCTCAGGGTGCGGTACCAAAGAACGTCAATGTGGGTAGAGACTGAAAATGTCTGTTTCTCTCAGGGTGCGGTACCAAAGAACGTCAATGTGGGTAGAGACTGAAAATGTCTGTTTCTCTCAGGGTGCAGTACCAAAGAACGTCAATGTGGGTAGAGACTGAAAATGTCTGTTTCTCTCAGGGTGCAGTACCAAAGAACGTCAATGTACACTTGATAAATAAACAACAGGTATATTTCTTCTAATGGAAATGGAAACCTTCAGATTTTGCTGTCGTGCTTCTCACTTGTAAAAAAATATCAAAGTTTCCACCATATTCAATGAAATATGACTTATTCAAAGGAGAAACAAAGATTGTCCTCTATACTAGACATGGTCAGGAAAGATTTACACATTGGACTGATATGCATGCCACACCTTATATCTTTATATACCACATTTATATTTCAACACATGTGTCTACATAAGTCATCTTGGTGTTGTTGAAGGAAGTGACTATATTGAAGCTGTATAGATAGTATTTCATGTCTCTACATCAGAATTACAAAGCAGAAATTATATTGTATCCTAGTCTTATATTTTTTTTTCTTTCTTTACAGAACAGAAATATGGTGTTGATATGAGTGTGTATTCCCAGATAGAGGATCTGACACATTTAGTAGGGCCACTTACAGAGGACAGTGTCCTAAGGTGTCTACAGGCTCGATTCTACTCCCAGCATTACCAGGTATTTACTTCCAACCATACAAGGAAAGGCCTTGACTTTCTTAAATTCCCCAAAACCCTTCCTCAACTCTCAATATAGAAGATATCTACCCTACTCCTAAACACACAGGACAAGGTCCTTAGGTGTCTACAGGCTTGATTCTACTCCCAACATAACCAGGCCCTACAAGTAAAGACAGTGACCTCCTTACCCCTACTTGGATGAATAATGCCCCCATCACATTGTGTACAGCGTTTTATGATGGAGAGACTTATGTAGACTTTTTTTCAGAATAAGGTTGGACCTGTTGTGATCTCAGTGAACAGCTATCAGCACCGACCAAGCTGCCAGGCCCTGTTGGGGCCAGTCAAGGCTAGTGCCCTTCTACAAGGGGTTGTCAGGGATGCAGTCACACAGCACGCAGACACAGGGCACTCCCAGGCCATTATTGTCAGGTAATTGACCAGTAAAACCCAGCACCTGTCGGTACCACTGAGGCTAGTGTTCAAAGGCACATCTATGTATAAACATGTATGTATAAAGTTATTAGGAAACTGTACAAAAGTACATTTAAGTGTGAACCTGTCACACAAAAGGAAACTAAGGCATCTCTAAATATTTTATGGAGCAATTATCATCATCACTGGCCTTTAAACCCGAACAGATCAAATATAACTGGTAATGTGAAAAAAACCATGCTGAATTCATGGCGAAATCTCTAGGCAACATTTACAATCATAACTGTACACGATCATCATCATCAGGTTTAATATAAAGTTATACTAAAAAAGTGTAGTTATATCTAAGATGTGAAACTTCAGAGACATTAAAGTTAAAGTTAAAAAAGGATAGAGTTGGTGAAGTTAATTTTAGAGACAGAAAAGTAAAGTTTAGCTCTCTTAAAGCTTATAATGGTGCCATTTAATCTTAACAGTTCTCTTTTTAAGTTTATAGACTTTTCCCTTATGTACCAGGGTGTGTGTGGGTGTGTGTGGGTGTGTGGGTGTGTGTGTGGGTGTGTGTGGTGGTGTGTGTGGGTGTGTGTGGGTGTGTGGGTGTGGTGGTGTGTGTGGGTGTGTGGGTGTGTGTGGTGGTGTGTGTGGGTGTGTGTGGGTGTGTGGAGTGTGGTGGTGTGTGTTGTGTGTGGTGGTGTGTGTGGTGGTATGTGTGTGTGTGGTGGTGGTGTGTGTGTGTGTGACTGTGTGGTTGTATATGTGAGTGGTGGTGTGTGTGGTGGTGTGTGTGGGTGTGTGTGGGTGTGTGGTGTGTGGGGTGTGTGGGTGTGTGTGGTGGTGGTGTGTGGGTGTGTGGTGGTGTGTGTGGGTGTGTGTGGGTGTGTGGGTGTGGTGGTGTGTGTGGGTGTGTGTGGTGGTGTGTGTGGGTGTAGGGGGGGGGTTGTAGGAACATTAATCAAGTTAATCAGGATGTAGTTTATACTATAGAAGCTTGGTTTATACTCCAGCATGCAAAAAATATAATCATTTTCTCTCTCATGCATGATTACTTCCTGATAAATACAGAGGTACTAGTTCTTACAAGTTAGTTTTAGCTAAACTTTATAGTGGTCACTATTGTAGCTGTCAGAACTGTAAACTTTGTAGTGGTCACTATTGTAGCTGTCAGAACTGTAAACTCTATAGTGGTCACTATTGTAGCTGTCAGAACTGTAAACTCTATAGTGGTCACTATTGTAGCTGTCAGAACTGTAAACTCTATAGTGGTCACTATTGTAGCTGTCAGAACTGTAAACTCTATAGTGGTCACTATTGTAGCTGTCAGAACTGTAAACTTTGTAGTGGTCACTATTGTAGCTGTCAGAACTGTAAACTTTGTAGTGGTCACTATTGTAGCTGTCAGAACTGTCTAATGGACACCCCAGCAGTAATTGTCTTCTCTGGACTGACAAGTCACTGACTGGTGAAGGCTATTACACTGTCATATCATGGCCATGTAAATGTCAAATCTTCTCTTTACATCTCGTTACGATTTAGATCTGTACAGTAAACTTCAGTCAATTTCTCCTTTCAACATCACAAATCATCTTCTTTAGACAGCCTGATATGTAGAACCCTTTGGTTTACAGAGTAAAAAAAATCCACCTGTCATATGTTCTGTGATGTTCTGATATGGTGTTTATTCAGTTTCCGTATACTAACTGTCTCACCTCTATAGTTTAGATGTACTTTAAAGAATGTTTCCTACATTAGAGTAATATTTGTGATTCCTTATTCATTCCGAGGTCATTCATATAGATAATTACTTACTGCAGATATAGGATATAGGGAACTTATTCATTGATTTCTTTTTCAATAGATTTGTGTCTATATAACTACATATGGCAAGTGAAAAAGATGCATTTACCAGCCAACTGTTTTATAGGTGTTAAATGTTCTCTTAATATTCTCTTAATATACATGAAATAGACCTTTTAGAAACATATAACACCAGACGAGGCTTTTGCAGTGAGATAGGGTGACTTGTACTTGTTCTGACCAGGAAATCTCACCTAAACATATTGAAAGACTGTTTTCATATTTTGTCAAAGTACTTTGAGATTTATGGGAAATATATACTTTAGACAGAGATAGTGTAACCATCACAATGTTGTTTACAGTGGGGAGAGTGTAACCATCACAATGTTGTTTATAGTGGGGAGAGTGTAAACATCTCAATGTTGTTTACAGTGGGGAGAGTGTAACCATCACAATGTTGTTTACAGTGGGGAGAGTGTAACCATCTCAATGTTGTTTACAGTGGGGAGAGTGTAACCATCTCAATGTTGTTTACAGTGGGGAGAGTGTAACCATCTAAATGTTGTTTATAGTGAGGAGAGTGTAACCATCTCAATGTTGTTTACAGTGGGGAGAGTGTAACCATCTCAATGTTGTTTACAGTGAGGAGAGTGTAACCATCTCAATGTTGTTTACAGTGGGGAGAGTGTAACTATCTCAATGTTGTTTACAGTGGGGAGAGTGTAACCATCTCAATGTTGTTTACAGTGGGGAGAGTGTAACTATCTCAATGTTGTTTACAGTGGGAGAGTGGAACCATCTGAATGTTGTTTACAGTGGGGAGAGTGTAACCATCTCAATGTTGTTTACAGTGGGGAGAGTGTAACCATCTCAATGTTGTTTATAGTGGGGAGAGTGTAACCATCTCAATGTTGTTTACAGTGGGGAGAGTGTAAACATCTCAATGTTGTTTACAGTGGGGAGAGTGTAACCATCACAATGTTGTTTATAGTGGGGAGAGTGTAACCATCACAATGTTGTTTACAGTGGGGAGAGTGTAACTATCTCAATGTTGTTTACAGTGGGGAGAGTGTAACCATCACAATGTTGTTTATAGTGGGGAGAGTGTAACCATCTCAATGTTGTTTACAGTGGGGAGAGTGTAACCATCTAAATGTTGTTTATAGTGGGGAGAGTGTAACCATCTAAATGTTGTTTACAGTGGGGAGAGTGTAACCATCACAATGTTGTTTATAGTGGGGAGAGTGTAACTATCTAGATGTTGTTTACAGTGGGGAGAGTGGAACCATCTCAATTTTGTTTACAGTGGGAGAGTGTAACCACCTCAATGTTGTTTACAGTGGGGAGAGTGTAACCATCACAATGTTGTTTACAGTGGGGAGAGTGTAACTATCTATAGTGGGGAGAGTGTAACCATATAAATGTTGTTTACAGTGGGGAGAGTGTAACCATCTCAATGTTGTTTACAGTGGGGAGAGTGTAACTATCTCAATGTTGTTTATAGTGGGGAGAGTGTAACCATCTCAATGTTGTTTAAAATAGGGAGAGTGTAACCATCTCAATGTTGTTTACAGTGGGGAGAGTGTAACTATCTCAATGTTGTTTACAGTGGGGAGAGTGTAACTATCTCAATGTTGTTTACAGTGGGGAGAGTGTAACTATCTCAATGTTGTTTATAGTGGGGAGAGTGTAAACATCTAAATGTTGTTTCGTTGGGAAGAATGTAACCATCTAAATGTTGTTTATATTGAGGAGAGTGTAACCATCACAATGTTGTTTACAGTGGGGAGAATGTAAGTATCTCAATGTTGTTTACAGTGGGGAGAGTGTAACTATCTAAATGTTGTTTATAGTGAGGAGAGTGTAACCATCTAAATGTTGTTTATATTGAGGAGAGTGTAACCATCTTAATGTTGTTTATAGTGGGGAGAGTGTAACTATCTCAATGTTGTTTACAGTGGGGAGAGTGTAACCATCTCAATGTTGTTTACAGTGGGGAGAGTGTAACCATCTCAATGTTGTTTACAGTGGGGAGAGTGTAACCATCACAATGTTGTTTATAGTGAGGAGAGTGTAACCATCTAAATGTTGTTTATATTGAGGAGAGTGTAACCATCTCAATGTTGTTTATAGTGGGGAGAGTGTAACTATCTCAATGTTGTTTACAGTGGGGAGAGTGGAAGTGGGAAGACATTTTGTGCAATGCAGTTACTACGTCAGCTGTTTGACATTGCTGGCGGAGGGTCAGAGACCGATACTTTCAAGCACCTGTCAGCCACCCTGACTGTTCTTCAGTCTTTGTGTTCAGCCACGACTGTCACTAACCCTGAGTGTAGCCGAGTGGTAAGTATTCAACTAAGACTTTCACCAGCCCTGAATGTAGCTGAATGGTTTTATGTCAACTTTCAGCACTGAATTGGGCTGAATAATGAGGACAATTGCAATTTTGTAAATTTTTGTAAAGAAGAATTGTGATTTAACTGACACTTATAAAGTACTGTCATAAGTTCTTTTTTTTTAATTTGTGAAGAAATGTTTACTGTACATACAACAATTTTGATATTTTGGTAATCTTTTCTTGGAAACGTCTTGATGAAACTTCTGTGTGAAAAATTCTTTAGACTTGATAGGTTTCTCTCCTCAACCTACCAAACAGAATCAACAACTAGAGATTGTATGTAACAGAGTTAATGAAAAATTTAAAATGACTGTCAGGGTCTGCTGAGATAAATGTAAACTGTTGACATTGTGTGTTGTTTCAGGGAATGTTCATCGAGAACTTTATAACAGACACTGCCATCTACAGGGCTAAGATACATGCATATCTCCTGGACAGGGTAAGTAACTCTTGATTATATTAAATACCAATAGGCCATACATTCTTCTGTTCTTTTGTTTATACCAAATCGTTAGATTTGAAAGAAACATGATACATTCATTTCAAATGATATCAAAATTCCATTGAGCATATTTTATTTGCATCATCGAGATACCGCCTTGCCACATATTAATGAGCTTCTTTGGGGACTTGTAGGCCATTTAATCACAAAAGATCTTGCATAATTGTAAGTGATATTTTACAGGAACATACAGGTGTAAATTACTCCCACTTACAAATGGTAATAGATCTGTGCATGTCTAGGTAACATTAAGTAGGAAGGTGGTGTCAGGTTACATGGAGGATTGATCAGGAGGCCATCTAAGATATTGTCAGAGGTAACTAGAGTCCTGTGCCTGAATCACTAGATGGTTGTATGGCATGCTGGGGGGTAGTTAGGCCTTGGTGTAACTTAGGAGGAAACTTCACTGGAATGTTCACCATTGTCCAGTCTGGTCATTGTATCTAGGTGCACAATAAACAGGTACAAAATGTACTCTAAAATTGCAGGGATTATAGTGTAAACTTTGAGGTACATTTCCTTTTTTTTCATTTTTTACAGGAAAGAGTGTGTAACATTCAACGCTATGAAAAAAACTACCACATATTTTATCAGATGTTGATTGGTCTCGGATCTGAAGAGAAAGGTAAAATAAGACACTTAATCAAATACCTACAAATTTTATCAATCATTCTTAATTGAGTTCTAAGAGAAGGAGAATTTGGTATTCTTCAAAGGTAATCAAAATAAATCTAAACATGCATATGAATTTTGTTAATGCTGATGGGTGAGTTATCTTCCCTTTACCAGGCTAGTCTATAGATAAACCTTCCTAGCTTTATCTCACCATATGGTTTAGATAAGGATATTCCACAGTCATGTCATGACATCACACCAACATCTGATTAAAGTCAAATTAGAAACTAAAAAATAGGAGAACCAACCAAGTTGATGACATCTAGATCACAGTGTTCTTGGATGGTGAGAAACCTTCATTTCCACATTTAAACATCAAATTGATAATACAGTGGAGTAAAGTGAACATTCAAGAGGGTATTAATGTCGCTAGAGAATCATTCATCCTGGGTGAGATCCAAACACCCCAGACACTCAGCCAGCCTTGTGTTTAGAAACAACAGTCTCCTCCTCTGGTTGACCAACCTCTATCTTGACATAAAGGGTGAACAGTTCTGTAAATCCCACAACCATAAGTAGGGATGATGTTTTAATACAGGTTGTTTGGTATCTATAAGATTATACAAAAGACATATAAGTGAATAACAGTTCTTAATAAAGATTTAGAATTAAATACAGTTGAGCAAAAAGATGAATTAAACTGCATCATACAGCTGTTAATTCTCCTTGGACTCTTTAATGATTCTAACGGCCAAAATTGTGAAGCCCAGACGGCAATTGATGAAAGCCAAAACTGATCCAAAGAAATGTCAAAATGCATTAGCCCATAATTTGATAAATCTAATAATTTTCATAAATCTGATAATTTGGAATGAATGCCAAATATACATTGTCTGTATTCTGAGCCGTGCCAATGTTTGCAGGAATCAAAACCTGGCAAACAAGGTGCAGTAAACCTCAGGGACTATAAGTCCACCAGCAGCCTAACCCATGCATTATTAAAGATTTACAGAAGACATACATGTGAATATAACCTTTCAGTTCCAATTTAGTTTTAGATACAGTAAAGCTAAATGATAATTGAACAAGGACCTAAATATTGATATCTAGGAGGCAACCGATGAAAAACAAAAGTAAAGAAATGTTAAAGATGGTGGTTATCCCTTTCGGCGCAGTAAAGTCGACATGCAGACAGGGCGCCATAGGCGACTAAAGTCGACATGCAGACAGGCCGCCGTAGGAGATTTTGGTCAACAATTTTTATATCTTTATCATATATATTTTTATAATATTTGGCACTGAGCTGTACATTGTGAGAGATATTTTGTGCTGACCTGTACATTGTGAGAGATATTTTGCGGTTAAACTTCATGCATTATAATACTACTTAGGTATCTTTGTCATGATTTAAAGATGAATTCTCTTGAATAGACATCAATCAGCTTCATCTTGTATCAAACAGCTTCATCTTGTATCAAACAGCTTCATCTTGTATCAAACAGCTTCATCTTGTATCAATCAGCTTCATCTTGTATCAAACAGCTTCATCTTGTATCAAACCAACCTCCCTTTCCTCATAACATTATTTACTGTAAAGGAACATAGGTAACACTACCGGTACCTTGTCGTCGCCCCAAGTTGTTTATTTTCCTTATAACATTGTGTACTATAGATACACAAATGTAAACCTGATTATCTCCCTTGACAGCTAAGCTGCACCTGACTGGATACTCCATTCACAACCTTCGCTACCTCAGTTCAGGAAGCACACTGCAGAATGAATTGGAGGACAAAGCACGGTTTGAAGCTTGGAAGGTAACACCAGATACAATTGATTTTTAGTGGTTATTGGTCAATCTCTGGAAAAAATTCTACTTTGTATGAAAATTAGATTTTATATTTCGAGTGACAATCGTCAATTTCCATGACATCATCACAACAATGATCAACATTATAAAACCATGATTTTTACTTTTATAGCAAGTGTTCCTTGGTTTAAAGTCAAGTAATGAAAGGTCAAGGTCATAAAGATAAAATTTTATTAAAGACGATGAAAGGCAATGTTATTCCCTGTAATTTTACTCTTTGGTGTTAGTACAGGGAATATGTACTGACTGCCTGAGCTTGTTTTAGAATATGTACTGACTGCCTGAGCTTGTTTTAGTACAGAGAATATGTCCTGACTGCCCGAGCTTGTTTTGTACAGAGAATATGTACTACTGCCTCTTGTTTTAGTACAGTACTGACTGCCTGAGCTTGTTTTAGAATATGTACTGACTGCCTAGCTTGTTTTAGAATATGTACTGACTGCCTGAGCTTGTTTTAGTACAGGGAATATGTACTGACTGCCTGAGCTTGTTTTAGTACAGGGAATATGTACTGACTGCCTGAGCTTGTTTTAGTACAGAGAATATGTCCTGACTGCCTGAGCTTGTTTTAGTACAGAGAATATGTACTGACTGCCTGAGCTTGTTTTAGTACAGAGAATATGTACTGACTGCCTGAGCTTGTTTTAGAATATGTACTGACTGCCTGAGCTTGTTTTAGAATATGTACTGACTGCCTGAGCTTGTTTTAGAATATGTCCTGACTGCCTGAGCTTGTTTTAGTACAGGGAATATGTACTGACTGCTTGAGCTTATTTTAGTACAGGGAATACGTACTGACTGCCTGAGCTTGTTTTAGAACATGTACTGACTGCCTGAGCTTGTTTTAGTACAGAGAATATGTACTGACTGCCTGAGCTTGTTTTAGTACAGGGAATATGTACTGACTGCCTGAGCTTGTTTTAGTACAGGGAATATGTACTGACTGCCTGAGCTTGTTTTAGTACAGGGAATATGTACTGACTGCCTGAGCTTGTTTTAGTACAGGGAATATGTACTGACTGCCTGAGCTTGTTTTAGAATATGTACTGACTGCCTGAGCTTGTTTTAGAATATGTCCTGACTGCCTGAGCTTGTTTTAGAATATGTACTGACTGCCTGAGCTTGTTTTAGTACAGAGAATATGTACTGACTGCCTAGCTTGTTTTAGAATATGTACTGACTGCCTGAGCTTGTTTTAGTACAGAGAATATGTACTGACTGCCTGAGCTTGTTTTAGAATATGTACTGACTGCCTGAGCTTGTTTTAGAATATGTACTGACTGCCTAGCTTGTTTTAGAATATGTACTGACTGTCTGAGCTTGTTTTAGTACAGAGAATATGTACTGAATGCCTGAGCTTGTTTTAGTACAGAGAATATGTACTGACTGCCTGAGCTTGTTTTAGTACAGAGAATATGTACTGACTGCCTGAGCTTGTTTTAGTACAGGGAATATGTACTGACTGCTTGAGCTTGTTTTAGAATATGAACTGACTGCCTGAGCTTGTTTTAGAATATGTACTGACTGCCTAGCTTGTTTTAGAATATGTACTGACTGCCTGAGCTTGTTTTAGAATATGTACTGACTGCCTGAGCTTGTTTTAGGATATGTACTGACTGCCTGAGCTTGTTTTAGGATATGTACTGACTGCCTGAGCTTGTTTTAGAATCTGAGCTTGTTTTAGAATATGTACTGACTGCCTGAGCTTGTTTTATGTACTGACTGCCTGAGCTTGTTTTAGAATATGAATATGTACTGACTGCCTGAGCTTGTTTTAGCCTGAGCAGAGAATGATGTACTGACTGCCTGAGCTTTTTTAGAGAATATGTACTGACTGCCTTAGAATATGTACTGACTGCCTGAGCTTGTTTTAGTACAGAGAATATGTACTGACTGCCTAGGTTGTTTTAGAATATGTTCTGACTGCCTGAGCTTGTACTGACTGCCTGAGCTTGTTTTAGAATCTGGGCTTGTTTTAGAATATGTCCTGACTGCCTGAGCTTGTTTTAGTACAGAGAATATGTACTGACTGCCTGAGCTTGTTTTAGAATATGTACTGACTGCCTGAGCTTGTTTTAGAATATGTACTGACTGCCTGAGCTTGTTTTAGTACAGAGAATATGTACTGACTGCCTGAGCTTGTTTTAGTACAGAGAATATGTACTGACTGCCTGAGCTTGTTTTAACTGCCTTAGAATATGTACTGACTGCCTGAGCTTGTTTTAGTACAGAGAATATGTACTGACTGCCTGAGCTTGTTTTAGAATATATCCTGACTGCCTGAGCTTGTTTTAGGATATGTACTGACTGCCTGAGCTTGTTTTAGTACAGAGAATATGTACTGACTGCCTGAGCTTGTTTTAGTACAGAGAATATGTACTGACTGCCTGAGCTTGTATTAGAATATGTACTGACTGCCTAGCTTGTTTTAGAATATGTACTGACTGTCTGAGCTTGTTTTAGTACAGAGAATATGTACTGAATGCCTGAGCTTGTTTTAGAATATGTACTGAATGCCTGAGCTTGTTTTAGAATATGTACTGACTGCCTGAGCTTGTTGTTTTAGTACTGAGAGCTTGTTTTAGAATAATATGTAGCTGACTGCCTGAGCTTGTTTTAGAATATGTACTGACTGCCTGAGCTTGTTTTAGAATATGTACTGACTGCCTGAGCTTGTTTTAGAATATGTACTGACTGCCTGAGCTTGTTTTAGTACAGAGAATATGTACTGACTGCCTGAGCTTGTTTTAGAATATGTACTGACTGCCTGAGCTTGTTTTAGTACAGAGAATATGTACTGACTGCCTAGCTTGTTTTAGAATATGTACTGACTGCCTGAGCTTGTTTTAGTACAGAGAATATGTACTGACTGCCTAGCTTGTTTTAGAATATGTACTGACTGCCTGAGCTTGTTTTAGTACAGAGAATATGTACTGACTGCCTAGCTTGTTTTAGAATATGTCCTGACTGCCTGAACTTGTTTTAGAATATGTACTGACTGCCTGAGCTTGTTTTAGAATATGTACTGACTGCCTGAGCTTGTTTTAGAATATGTACTGACTGCCTGAGCTTGTTTTTAGAATATGTCCTGACTGCCTGAGCTTGTTTTAGAATATGTACTGACTGCCTGAGCTTGTTTTAGTACAGAGAATATGTACTGACTGCCTGAGCTTGTTTTAGAATATGTACTGACTGCCTGAGCTTGTTTTAGAATATGTACTGACTGCCTGAGCTTGTTTTAGAATATGTACTGACTGCCTGAGCTTGTTTTAGTACAGAGAATATGTACTGACTGCCTGAGCTTGTTTTAGAATATGTACTGACTGCCTGAGCTTGTTTTAGAATATGTACTGACTGCATGAGCTTGTTTTATTACAGAGAATATGTACTGACTGCCTGAGCTTGTTTTAGAATATGTACTGACTGCCTGAGCTTGTTTTAGAATATGTACTGACTGCCTGAGCTTGTTTTAGAATATGTACTGACTGCCTGAGCTTGTTTTAGTACAGAGAATATGTCCTGACTGCCTGAGCTTGTTTTAGAATATGTCCTGACTGCCTGAGCTTGTTTTAGAATATGTACTGACTGCCTGAGCTTGTTTTAGAATATGTACTGACTGCCTGAGCTTGTTTAAGAATATGTACTGATTTGTTTTACAGAGTGCCCTGTCAATCTTAGGGATTCCATTCTCAGATGTTATGAGAGTGTTTTCTGCTGTCCTCCTGTTGGGAAATATTGAGTTTGTAGAAGGCACTGGTTTAGAGCTGGACCTGATTGGCAACAATGGTAAGTTTGTGGAGGGTGCAAGTCTAGAACTGGACCTGATGGGCAACATTGGTAAGTATGTGGACAGCACAAGTCTAGAACTGGACCTGGTGGGTGGTAAGTTTGTTTAGGGCAATGGTCTAGAATTGTACCTTGTGGAAGTCCAGAACTGGACCTGGTTGGCAACAATGGTAAGTATGTGGACAGCACAAGTCCAGAACTTGACCTGGTTGGCAACAATGGTAAGTATGTAGACAGCACAAGTCCAGAACTGGACCTGGTTGGCAACAATGGTAAATTTGCATACAACACTGATATACGGTGATCAGACAAATACTGCCAGATGTTGTGTAGCCTGTTTATTGTGGTTAAGTCTACACTCTGGCTTCTGTTTCAAGCTTCACTCTGATCGCTGTATTCAGTGTGTAATTAAAATGAGTTGTTTTTACTGTAAAACATTATTAGTAATCATCACATATAATTCATATGTAGTATCAACCAGGTAGTATCATTCAGGTAAAATTTGCTGTATCTTTCCTATCAGTATTTATATACATCAAAGTATCTGATGTCAGTCTAGTATTGTATGATGTTGTTGGATATTTACAGAAATCAAGGCTGTAGCTGCCCTGTTGGGAGTGTCTGGGGTTGCCCTGTACCGTGGCTTTACCACTCGGACCAGAAATTCTCGAGGACAAGTCTGCAAGTCACTGGCAGATGTCACCATGGTAAGGCAATGATCTGCTGTACACCAACTTTACTTCACACATGATTTACAAATTTCCCAGTTTATGCAAAATCACAGAAATTCATTGTTACTTATTACATAATGAATATCAGTTTTCATTGTTCAGCTTTCTGTGTTGCTTTATGATACCTACAAGCAGTTAACACCTATTATACATAAATCTGTGGTTAAATTCAGCAATGGATTCCTATGAGTCTTTGATAAAACGCTCTGGTGGTGTAGTATGTTTGAATTCTATGACTGATTCACCTTTGTAAGAAGCTATACAAACTTTTGAACAACTTTGATCAACTTTCACATTGCTAACAAAACAAAAACATAAGACACCTAATGAATTTGAAAGTTTGTTATATTATATTGTTGTTTTTTTTTCTCTTGGTATTGTGCTATAATAAGGCATCTAAAGACATTGCAGTCTGCCTACAGGTCACTGCTGACCAATGTCCTTCAAACGTCCTATGGTGATCTTGGCTGTTATGGCCAAATTAGCTATCAGCGATTGTCTCCCTTTGGGGTTTATCTGAAGACCATATATTTGAAATTTTACAGTGGTGGCTCAAAATTTGTTATATTACCAAAATTAGGAACTTTTGTAATGTAATGACATAGACAGTGAATGTTTCATCTAATGTACTGTATTTATCTAGCTATATCATTGAATCATATCTGAAAAGTATATGTGTTTACCAGGCAAATACAACGAGAGATGCCCTGAGCAAGGCCCTCTACTTCAGAACAGTGTCAGCAATATTAAAGCGTGCCAACAGCATCAGGAGACCTACCAGTAATTCTACGCTGTCAGACAGCACAGAATCTAATCTTCATCAAGGTTGGTAACTCTGTCATCCCTGTCAAGCCTTATTCAGAATAGATACGTACCATTTGTCAGACATCAAGGTTGGTAACTCTGTCATCCCTGTCAAACCTAATTCAGAATGGATACAGACCATTTGTCAGACATCAAAGAGATTGTATGAATGATCTCTCAGACATTTATTGTCACAATATTTCTTTTAATTTAACTTGTTAAGCATGGTATAATTGACATCTTTACCATACATGTATGTCTCTGTTGTAGATGCCCTAGGACTGTCTGGGGTGAGATACATGCCCTTTATACCTTACTTACCGTGTCCCTCTCTGTTATAGATACCCTTGAGCTGTCTGGGGTGAGAAACATGCCCTTTATACCTTACTTACCATGTCTGTCTCTGTTGTAGATGCCCTGGGACTGTCTGGGGTGAGAAACATGCCTCTGAGTCGGAACCCATCTCTGACAAGCAGTGTGTGTAGTAACCTGAGTAAGAAGACCAGATTAGATGGTTTCATCAGTATTGTAGATATGTTTGGATTTGAGACAGCTGAGGTAAACAGACAAATTCTTACCTATTTCGAAATGTTAAAATTATAGTAGCTGTCAAACAAGATTCATGTGTTCATCTGTATAATACTCTGATTACATGTTCAAGCCAGTTTGTTTCAAGTGACATTAAACCAGTGTTGTCTTACTTACAGTGTAATCGACTGGAACAACTCTGTATAAATCTGTGTGCAGAAACCATGCAACATTTCTACAATACCCATGTGTTCAAGAGCACCATGCAGTCTCTCAGAGAGGAAGGTGTGCAAGCTGATGTGGAAGTCACTTACTTTGACAATGAACCAATCCTAGAGCTTCTCTCATCCAAGGTAGGTCAGTGCCAAAACTCTTCTTAACAAATCCCAGAGCTCCTCTCATCCATAGTAGGTCAGTCCTGAAACCCTTCTCAGCTAATCCTAGATCTCGTCCTATGTGAAAGTGACTCATGTTTTGTCCTGATGTTGTAGAGGAGCTGTTTCCTTGGTATTGTATATTTGACACAGTGACTCATTGTTTTACTCTGATATTGTAGAGGAGTGAATTACTCAGTATTGTATATCTGGCACAGTGACTCATGTTTTACTCTGATATTGTAGAGGAATGAGTTACTCAGTATCCTATTGTATATCTGACACAGTGACTCATATTTTACTCTGATATTGTAGAGGAGTGAGTTACTCCGTATCCTATTGTATATCTGACACAGTGACTCATGTTTTACTCTGTTATTGTAGAGGAGTGAGTTACTCCGTATCCTATTGTATATATGACACAGTGACTCATGTTTTACTCTGATATTGAAGAGGAGTGAGTTACTCCGTATCCTACTGTATATATGACACAGTGACTCATATTTTACTCTGATATTGTAGAGGAGTGAGTTACTCCGTATCCTATTGTATATCTGACACAGTGACTCATGTTTTACTCTGATATTGTAGAGGAGCGGCTTAATCAATATACTGGAGACAGAATGTGCTCAGCCACGAACATCACCGGACACTTTTGTCAGCAAGGCCAAAGTCCACCATAGGATCAACAACTAGTGAGTCAATAAACACAACACAAACTACAATTATATCTGTTAAAGTGTCACTCTATCTAGTAGGGTTATCCTTTCCTGTGATTAAATAATGCATTTAATATTTCACTTCAGGTTAACTTGGCCAATGGGCCTTAAACAAATGATCCTGCTATGAGCTGCAAGACTTGTTTTCTTTTGTTTTATTTTGAACTCATCTGGTCCAAAGTGCAAAAGGGCCAAGATCCCTTTTTCTTCTCATGTCTGTTAATTATCAATCTCTGACTTTGAATGGTAAAGATGTTAAATTTAAAGTAATTAATCTGGCTATTTTTTATATATACAGACCAAACTGTTGCACACCTTGACAAACCGTTTGCATGTGATCATATTGTTTATATCTTTGTGCTCTGTTTGTAGTTTTTTTGAACCGCTACCCAAGGCATCGTGTGTGTTTGGTATCCGCCATTTTGCTGGCCGTGTGGTGTATGATGCCTCTAACTTCCTAACCAACAATCGTGACCAGCTTTCTGATGACATCATTTGTATCCTCTCCAAACAGAACTGTAACTTTGGGTTTGTGTCCCACTTGTTTGCTCGGGAGACTAAGAGCTCTAGTAGTAAGTATCGTATGTTGTATATCTGTGTCCTCCTTGATTCAGTGCCCCATAGTTCAACTACTATGTAAATCAAATTAGATACTATACCTTAGAGTGTTCAACTCTAATCTACAAAAACAAGGTAGAAAACATTGTTCAATCCATTTTTCAATCAAAAAGCATGAAATAATGAAGGATTTTGTTGAGATTGAATTTGTAACTATATGAAGTTTTTTCCACTGATTGAACATGTTTTTTTGGGGTGTAAGATTTTATGTTTATCTTAGTTTCTCGGGAACTTTAAGAACAATAGTAATTCATTAGAAATTTTAATTTCTTTGATTCAAATTTGTTGAAAGCATTAAAATTGGTGATGACTTAATTTGGAGTCATTGGCATTTGTTTTTTATCTAAGAAGATTTGTTTTGGGTACATTCAGTTAGAAATGTAGATGAATTTTGTTTTTGAAGAAGCCATTTCAGAGAACCTGAATGTTGATAGACAAACATTTCTGTAGGTTTTTCATATCCTAGATTATATCTGTATAAACATGTACTGTTGTTATGGTTACAGGTAGTGGACCAGGACCTAAAGGCATGAAACACAGAATACTGCCATCATCAGGACACTATGGGTAGGTTTTCATAATCTCTCTGTGAAATACAGAATATTGCTGTCATCAGGACACTATGGGTAGGTTTTCATAATATCTCTGTGAAACACAGAATGCTGCCATCACCAGGACACTATGGGAGGTTTTCATAATCTCTCTGTGAAACATAGAATACTGCCATCACCAGGACACTATGGGAGGTTTTCATAATCTCTCTGTGAAACATAGAATACTGCCATCACCAGGACACTATGGGAGGTTTTCATAATCTCTCTGTGAAACACAGATTACTGCTGTCATCAGGACACTATGGGTAGGTTTTCATAATCTCTCTGTGAAACACAGAATGCTGCCATCATCAGGACACTATGGGTAGGTTTTCATAATCTCTCTGTGAAACATAGAATACTGCCATCACCAGGACACTATGGGTAGGTTTTCATAATCTCTCTGTGAAACATAGAATACTGCCATCACCAGGACACTATGGGAGGTTTTCATAATCTCTCTGTGAAACAGAATACTGCCATCACCAGGACACTATGGGAGGTTTTCATAATCTCTCTGTGAAACACAGATTACTGCTGTCATCAGGACACTATGGGTAGGTTTTCATAATCTCTCTGTGAAACACAGAATACTGCCATCACCAGGACACTATGGGAGGTTTTCATAATCTCTCTGTGAAACACAGATTACTGCTGTCATCAGGACACTATGGGTAGGTTTTCATAATATCTCTGTGAAACACAGAATGCTGCCATCATCAGGACACTATGGGTAGGTTTTCATAATCTCTCTGTGAAACATAGAATACTGCCATCACCAGGACACTATGGGTAGGTTTTCATAATCTCTCTGTGAAACACAGATTACTGCTGTCATAAGGACACTATGGCTAGGTTTTCATCATCTCTCTGTGAAACACCGAATACTGCTGTCATCAGGACACTATGGGTAGGTTTTCATAATCTCTCTGTGAAACACAGAATACTGCCATCATCAGGACACTATGGGTAGGTTTTCATAATCTCTCTGTGAAACATAGAATACTGCCATCATCAGGACACTATGGGTAGGTTTTTATGCCTTGTTACTAAAATATAGGGAGCATATAGTGTTACCCAAGTCTGTCCCGTCTGTCCATTCAACCGTCTGGATTTAGTTTCCACACCATGATTCAGAATGTCTCGGTAGAATTAAATAATATTTTGGATGTATGTTTAGATAATAAATATCTAGTCCATGTTAAATTTTCACTGATTTCTGGCAATTTCTTTTAGAGTTATGGCCCTTCAAGTTTTAATTTGCACTAATGTCAAGAATATTCACTCGAGGTTTAATTTATTTTGACAGAGTTATGCCCCTTGCACTTGGTAAATTCCAAGTAATTTATAGCTTTTGCTCATTATCTCAATGCTTTTCTTCTAGTTAGATATATATTTAATAATAATATCCTATAAATATATAAACAGGTTTTCAGGGACTAGATGTTATAGTATGTAGAGTGAGTAGATGTTATAGTATGTAGAGTGAGTAGATGTTATAGTATGTAGAGTGAGTAGATGTTATAGTATGTAGAGTGAGTAGATGTTTATATGTAGAGTGAGTAGATGTAGAGTGAGTAGATGTTATAGTATGTAGAGTGAGTAGATGTTATAGTATGTAGAGTGAGTAGATGTTATAGTATGTAGAGTGAGTAGATGTTATAGTATGTAGAGTGAGTAGATGTTATAGTATGTAGAGTGAGTAGATGTTATAGTATGTAGAGTGAGTAGATGTTATAGTATGTAGAGTGAGTAGATGTTATAGTATGTAGAGTGAGTAGATGTTATAGTATGTAGAGTGAGTAGATGTTATAGTATGTAGAGTGAGTAGATGTTATAGTATGTAGAGTGAGTAGATGTTATAGTATGTAGAGTGAGTAGATGTTATATGTATGTAGATGTTATAGTAGTAGATGTTATAGTATGTAGAGTGAGTAGATGTTATAGTAGATGTTATAGTATGTAGAGTGAGTAGATGTTATAGTATGTAGAGTGAGTAGATGTTATAGTAGATGTTATAGTATGTAGAGTGAGTAGATGTTATAGTATGTAGAGTGAGTAGATGTTATAGTATGTAGAGTGAGTAGATGTTATAGTATGTAGAGTGAGTAGATGTTATAGTATGTAGAGTGAGTAGATGTTATAGTATGTAGAGTGAGTAGATGTTATAGTATGTAGAGTGAGTAGATGTTATAGTATGTAGAGTGAGTAGATGTTATAGTATGTAGAGTGAGTAGATGTTATAGTATGTAGAGTGAGTAGATGTTATAGTATGTAGAGTGAGTAGATGTTATAGTAGATGTTATAGTATGTAGAGTGAGTAGATGTTATAGTATGTAGAGTGAGTAGATGTTATAGTATGTAGAGTGAGTAGATGTAGATGTTATAGTATGTAGAGTGAGTAGATGTTATAGTATGTAGAGTGAGTAGATGTTATAGTAGAGTGAGTAGATGTTATAGTATATAGTATGTAGAGTGAGTAGATGTAGAGTGAGTAGATGTTATAGTATGTAGAGTGAGTAGATGTTATAGTATGTAGAGTGAGTAGATGTTATAGTATGTAGAGTGTAGTATGTATAGTAGATTATAGTAGATGTTATAGTATGTAGAGTGAGTAGATGTTATAGTATGTAGAGTGAGTAGATGTTATAGTATGTAGAGTGAGTAGATGTTTAGTAGTAGAGTGAGATGTTATAGTAGATGAGTAGATGTTATAGTAGATGTTATAGTATGTAGAGTGAGTAGATGTTATAGTATGTAGAGTGAGTAGATGTTATAGAATGTAGAGAGTAGAGTAGATTTTATAGTATGTAGAGTGAGTAGATGTTATAGTATGTAGAGTGAGTAGATGTTATAGATGTTAGTGAGTAGATGTAGATGTGAGTAGATGTTATAGTATGTAGAGTGAGTAGATGTTATAGTAGATGTAGAGTGAGTAGATGTTATAGTATGTAGAGTGAGTAGATGTTATAGTATGTAGAGTGAGTAGATGTTATAGTATGTAGAGTGAGTAGATGTTATAGTATGTAGAGTGAGTAGATGTTATAGTATGTAGAGTGAGTAGATGTTATAGTAGATGTTATAGTATGTAGAGTGAGTAGATGTTATAGTATGTAGAGTGAGTAGATGTTATAGTAGATGTTATAGTATGTAGAGTGAGTAGATGTTATAGTATGTAGAGTGAGTAGATGTTATAGTATGTATGTAGTAGATGAGTAGATGTTATAGTAGATGTAGAGTGAGTAGATGTTTAGTAGTAGTAGAGTGAGTAGATGTTATAGTATGTAGAGTGAGTAGATGTTATAGTATGTAGAGTGAGTTGATGTTATTGTATGTAGTTTTTGTTGTTGTAGTTTGTAGTGAGTAGATGTTATAGTATGTAGAGTGAGTAGATGTTATAGTATGTAGAGTGAGTAGATGTTATAGTATGTAGAGTGAGTAGATGTTATAGTAGATGAGTATAGTATGTAGAGTGAGTAGATGTTATAGTATGTAGAGTGAGTAGATGTTATAGTGAGTAGATGTTATAGTATGTAGAGTGAGTAGATGTTATAGTATGTAGAGTGAGTAGATGTTATAGTATGTAGAGTGAGTAGATGTTATAGTATGTAGTAGATAGTAGATGTTATATGAGTAGATGTTATAGTATGTAGAGTGAGTAGATGTTATAGTATGTAGAGTGAGTAGATGTTATAGTATGTAGAGTAGTAGATGTTAGTAGTAGATGTAGTATGTATATGTATGTAGAGTGAGTAGATGTTATAGTATGTAGAGTGAGTAGATGTTATAGTATGTAGAGTGAGTAGATGTTATAGTATGTAGAGTGAGTAGATGTTATAGTATGTAGAGTGAGTAGATGTTATAGTATGTAGAGTGAGTAGATGTTATAGTATGTAGAGTGAGTAGATGTTATAGTATGTAGAGTGAGTAGATGTTATAGTATGTAGAGTGAGTAGATGTTATAGTATGTAGAGTGAGTAGATGTTATAGTATGTAGAGTGAGTAGATGTTATAGTATGTAGAGTGAGTAGATGTTATAGTATGTAGAGTGAGTAGATGTTATAGTATGTAGAGTGAGTAGATGTTATAGTATGTAGAGTGAGTAGATGTTATAGTATGTAGAGTGAGTAGATGTTATAGTATGTAGAGTGAGTAGATGTTATAGTATGTAGAGTGAGTAGATGTTATAGTATATTTTAGAGTGAGTAGATGTTATAGTATGTAGAGTGAGTAGATGTTATAGTAGATGTTATAGTATGTAGAGTGAGTAGATGTTATAGTATGTAGAGTGAGTAGATGTTATAGTATGTAGAGTGAGTAGATGTTATAGTAGATGTTATAGTATGTAGAGTGAGTGAGTAGATAGATGTTATAGTATGTAGAGTGAGTAGATGTTATAGTATGTAGAGTGAGTAGATGTTATAGTATGTAGAGTGAGTAGAGTGAGTAGATGTTATAGTATGTAGAGTGAGTAGATGTTATAGTATGTAGAGTGAGTAGAGTGAGTAGAGTGAGTAGATGTTATAGTATGTAGAGTGAGTAGATGTTATAGTATGTAGAGTAATTAGATGTTATAGTATGTAGAGTTAGTAGATGTTATAGTATGTAGAGTGAGTAGATGTTATAGTATGTAGAGTGAGTAGATGTTATAGTATGTAGAGTGAGTAGATGTTATAGTATGTAGAGTGAGTAGATGTTGTAGTATGTAGAGTGAGTAGATGTTATAGTATGTAGAGTGAGTAGATGTTATAGTATGTAGAGTGAGTAGATGTTATAGTATGTAGAGTGAGTAGATGTTATAGTATGTAGAGTGAGTAGATGTTATAGTATGTAGAGTGAGTAGATGTTATAGTATGTATAGTGAGTAGATGTTATGTTATAGTATATGTTATAGTATTTATATTGAGTAGATGTTATAGTATGTAGTCGTTTTTTTTTTAGATGTTATAGTATGTAGAGTGAGAGTGAGTAGATGTTATAGTATGTAGAGTGAGTAGATGTTATAGTATGTAGAGTGAGTAGATGTTATAGTATGTAGAGTGAGTTGATATAATATTTTTATATCAATTAAGAGATTCCCAGCAAACTACCAGTACCAGTTTATATATGACATACAGATGACTTAGCCAGGTGCCCCAGTTTACTTAAATCACCAGCAGATTCCATTCATCAATCTTATTTCAGGCTGTTTTAGTCCTCTGATTCTGAATGTTTTAAATCAGAATTATGTTTTGTCTAATTTTGTAGATCAGAAGAAGTTCGAGGCACTCTGTCCAGTGACTTCCAGAGCAAGCTTGACAGTCTAATTAGAACCTTGGTCCACACAAAACCACACTTCATTCACTGTCTCAAGGTACTAAACATTATCAGAATAGTCTGTACTGATAGTGGGACATGGAATTATTCAATGAAATTAAAACTATGTATTCTCAGATATTGGAAATTATAAATCAAACTGTACTTATATACTTATATAGTTTAGTAATTTTGTGTGAGGTTTAATTTTATATTCACAGAGTAATGATCGCTGTGAAATGGACATGTTTGACAAGGACGTCATTCTTCGGCAGTTAAGGTCACTTCAAGTTCTGGACACCGTCCAGCTGATGGCAGGAGGTGAGTTATATGTTTATGAATATTTGCTTGAGTCTTTTATTCCACTAAGTAAGAAATGTGTTTCAGGATCTGCCAACAAATTCAAATAATGTTAGAATATAGTGTCATTGATATTGACACAAAAGTGTGGAGCTAAAGATAGCAGAGTACTAGTAGTGTGATTGTAACATTGATTTGTGTGTAGGTATTCCACACAGAATGAGGTACAAGTCCTTCAACCACCGCTACACAATCTTCCTTCACCACTGGAATCCTTACCAGACTAGTTCACAACAGGAACACTGTAAGGTAAAGGATCAAGGCTTTATCTTTATACTTCAATGCCTACAGATTGGCAATTATATGCAGTCATAGATAATGTCACATTGGTAATTCTCCTGTTACTATTTCAGTCACAGTTGACTTCACATTGGTAATTCTCCTGTTACTATTTCAGTCACAGTTGACCTCACATTGGTAATTCTCCTGTTACTATTTCAGTCACAGTTGACTTCACATTGGTAATTCTCCTGTTACTATTTCAGTCACAGTTGACTTCACATTGGTAATTTTCCTGTTACTATTTCAGTCACAGTTGACTTCACATTGGTAATTCCAATGATACTATGTCAGTTGCAGTTGAGTTCACACAGGTAATTCCCATGTTACTATTTAAGTCACAGATATCTTCATCATTGGAACATGTGGTGAAACTTATAAAGATAAAGTGCAAGTTTAACTGTAGTATTTTGCTATTTATTTATAAATACTCTACTTGGCAGGCAATACTGAACAGTTTCCTGAAGGCCATGGATGACAGTAAGCTCCCTTATGTCAGTACACAATGGACTCTGGGCAAGAAACATATCTTCTTCAGGTAGGTTACCTGTCAAAATAGTCAAAATTCAGAGACAATAAGGATGAACAAAAGTCAAATAAAAACAGTTTTACTGCTTGGAAAAAATACAGTAGTTTATAAGTTAAAAGTAACTGATGGAAAGAAAACTGAATTTAATTGAAATTTTGGGGAAACCTGTCGAACTTAAATATATTGTCACATGAGCAACTTTTATTTTGTATAGTGAAGGGACTCGACAACAGTTGGAGGCCATGAGAGCTGAGAAGTATGATAAAGCAGCATGCCGTATACAAGCCACTTGGAAGGGCTATCACCAGCGTAAACTGTGGCCAGAAAAACGGAAACATCTCCAGGCACAACAGGGCACCTCAAAGGCAACATACCCAGTACAGAGGTGAGTATAGGCACAAGGTGGTGCCCCTAAGGCTGCATACTCCATACAGAGGTGAGTATAGGCACAAGGTGGTGCCCCTAAGGCTGCATACTCCATACAGAGGTGAGTATAGGCACAAGGTGGTGCTCCTAAGGCTGCATACTCCATACAGAGGTGAGTATAGGCACAAGGTGTTGCCCCTAAGGCTGCATACTCCATACAGAGGTGAGTACAAGCACAACAGGGCACCCCTAAGGCTATATACCTTATACATAGGTGAGTACAGGCACAAGAGCAGTCAACAGTTATCTTTCTATACAAAATACATCTAAAGCAGAAGGAAGACCCAGTTTTACCAGGGCAAATCCTTTGATCAGGATTTTAAAGATTTTCCTTGATTTTGATAGACCTGCCTGAATTTTCTCGTGAATATGTTACATTTAAACAAATCCTGTTACAATACATCTGCTGTATGTGTTTACAAATTTTGTACTTACAGTTTATTTGGATTACAAATTTGAAATGTGTTCAAACAGATAGGAAGAATTCTCACATCAATCAAAACTTTCTCTGAGCATACCTTTTCATATATTTGCTGTTTTATCCCTCAGAAAAAGAAGTAAAACAAAAGACAATGGACCAAAGAAAGACCCTCGATTACTCCAGCAAGCTTCAAACTACTACAAAATAAGCCTGGTCAGTACTCAGTTATCTCCCCTTAGGTGTAATCTGTATTCAGCAGACTTTTCTGTTAATATCAGAATGTCATAGTGTTAGGTATCAAATCTTGTTAAAATAAAAAAGAAGAAAAATACCAGGTTAACAACACTATCAAATGTTCTGATTTCTCAGCTCATTAATGTTTGTCAGGCTTTGTTGTGTAAAGAAACAAAACCAGAATGGTTAGCACTTCACTTTAAAATAATTAGCTCATTTGATAAATACTTCATCACATTTACTAGGTTTAAATAAATGAGTTCATTAATCAAACAGAATGACTTTGACCCTATGCTTGAACGTTCATACTAGGAATAAAGAATTTATAGCAACTTTTTCATTGAATTTCTTTTACTGGGGTGTTCTATTTGGGATAAACACTAAATATGGCTGTTTTAGGAAGCAGCACCAGCTGTCCCCGCCACCAGGTCTTACAACGTGGCAGGAAATGTACGACTGAGCTACCCACAATTCAGAATCATGAAGGATGATTTTCCAAGTATGTACCATATTATCTGGTTTTACCATGTCACAAGGTCACATTCTCCATATCAATGGGTTTTAAAAATCCTGTTCTCTTACTGTTTCTCAAAAACGTGTTTCAATCTGACCCATGTCAGCAAATCCATCTCCAGATAATTATCATTTGAAATTTTCACTAAACCATAGCTAGCTGTGTCCAAATTTTATACAGTTTGTACCAGTCTTTGTCAGTCTGTCTGTGGACATTTTATTATTGTCAGATTGTATCATCTACATGTTTATAGATTGTGTATACTAGTATCTGTAGGGAGGTATATACTAGTATCTGTAGGGAGGTATATACTAGTATCTGTAGGGAGGTATATACTAGTATCTGTAGGGAGGTATATACTAGTATCTGTAGGGAGGTATATACTAGTATCTGTAGGGATGTATACTAGTATCTGTAGGGATGTATATACTAGTATCTGTAGGGAGGTATATACTAGTATCTGTAGGGAGGTATATACTAGTATCTGTAGGGAGGTATATACTAGTATCTGTAGGGAGGTATATACTAGTATCTGTAGGGAGGTATATACTAGTATCTGTAGGGAGGTATATACTGGTATCTGTAGGGAGGTATATACTAGTATCTGTAGGGAGGTGTATACTAGTATCTGTAGGGAGGTATATACTAGTATCTGTAGGGAGGTATATACTAGTATCTGTAGGGAGGTATATACTAGTACTAGTATCTGTAGGGAGGTATATACTAGTATCTGTAGGGAGGTATATACTAGTATCTGTAGGGAGGTATATACTAGTATCTGTAGGGAGGTATATACTAGTATCTGTAGGGAGGTATATACTAGTATCTGTAGGGAGGTATATACTAGTATCTGTAGGGAGGTATATACTAGGTATATACTAGTATCTGTAGGGAGGTATATACTAGTATCTGTAGGGAGGTATATACTAGTATCTGTAGGGAGGTATATACTAGTATCTGTAGGGAGGTATATACTAGTATCTGTAGGGAGGTATATACTAGTATCTGTAGGGAGGTATATACTAGTATCTGTAGGGAGGTATATACTAGTATCTGTAGGGAGGTATATACTAGTATCTGTAGGGAGGTATATACTAGTATCTGTAGGGAGGTATATACTAGTATCTGTAGGGATGTATATACTAGTATCTGTAGGGAGGTATATACTAGTATCTGTAGGGAGGTATATACTAGTATCTGTAGGGATGTATATACTAGTATCTGTAGGGAGGTATATACTAGTATCTGTAGGGAGGTGTATATACTAGTATCTGTAGGGATGTATATACTAGTATCTGTAGGGAGGTATATACTAGTATCTGTAGGGAGGTATATACTAGTATCTGTAGGGAGGTATATACTAGTATCTGTAGGGAGGTATATACTAGTATCTGTAGGGAGGTATATACTAGTATCTGAGGGGAGGTATATACTAGTATCTGTAGGGAGGTGTATACTAGTATCTGTAGGGATGTCTATACTAGTATCTGTAGGGAGGTGTATACTAGTATCTGTAGGGAGGTATATACTAGTATCTGTAGGGAGGTATATACTAGTATCTGTAGGGATGTATATACTAGTATCTGTAGGGAGGTATATACTAGTATCTGTAGGGAGGTATATACTAGTATCTGTAGGGAGGTATATACTAGTATCTGTAGGGAGGTATATACTAGTATCTGTAGGGAGGTATATACTAGTATCTGTAGGGAGGTGTATATACTAGTATCTGTAGGGATGTATATACTAGTATCTGTAGTATATACTAGTATCTGTAGGGAGGTATATACTAGTATCTGTAGGGAGGTATATACTAGTATCTGTAGGGAGGTATATACTAGTATCTGTAGGGAGGTATATACTAGTATCTGTAGGGAGGTATATACTAGTATCTGTAGGGAGGTATATACTAGTATCTGTAGGGAGGTATATACTAGTATCTGTAGGGAGGTGTATACTTTGGATCCTTGTTAGTTTGGGTGAGAAGAGAAAATTTCAAATGCTACAAAAGATGTGTTTTATTTAAATTACCTTACCTTTGTTATTGGTTGTAGAATTGGCCAGTGATGGTAATGTGTTATGGCGAGGTGAAGAGGTGAAAGTCATAGGTCCAGCATCAGCTAGAGGCCATCTTAAGGTGCAGCGCAAGGATGTATGTCTAGATGTGCCCTATCACTTGTTAGATTTAAAGGTGAGTAAACACACCTGTCTAATCTTACCTTGTACTTAATCACTCTTCAACCGAAGTAAGTTTTGTCCAGTTTAGTTTGCTGACCATCTTACCAGATGACAATATTTTTTATTTCTGTCATATTATTGTATTGAAGACATATTATATACATCTTTTATAGGCTTATAGGTTTTCACTGATAAAGGGTTTTTGATGATAAAGGGTTTTTGATGATAAAAGGTCTTGAATATCTTAATCAAGATAACATTTCAGTTTGGTATAACAGCTTATAATCCTGGTAAATGTTTTGTTTAACTTATATAAGAGTCATTGTTATGTAATAGTAACAGAGGTATCCTTTAATTGTGTTCAGACTGTCCCAGCTCCAGTTGGTATGGACATATGAGTAGGCACACGTAACTGTGGTACACTGAGACAAGATGGCAGCTATGTAACTGATCACCATGTACTTATCCAATAGACATGTGAGTGAAGATACCATAGTTACTGACTACAAGGTCACACCAAGGTCACACCACGGTCACACCACGGTCACAGATCACTGTGGAGATGAGATAGACATATGAGTGAACAGAGACCACGGCCAGACACCATGGTCACAGATCACTGTGGAGATGAGATAGACATATGAGTGAACAGAGACCACGGCCAGACACCATGGTCACAGATCACTGTGGAGATGAGATAGACGTATGAGTGAACAGAGACCACTGCCAGACACCATGGTCACAGATGACTGTGGAGATGAGATAGAGATATGAGTGAACGGGGACCATGGCGAGACACCATGGTCACAGATCACTGTGGAGATGAGATAGACATATGAGTGAACAGAGACCACAGCCAGACACCATGGTCACAGATCACCGTGGAGATGAGATAGACATATGAGTGAACAGAGACCACTGCCAGACACCATGGTCACAGATCACTGTGGAGATGAGATAGACATATGAGTGAACAGAGACCACAGCCAGACACCATGGTCACAGATCACTGTGGAGATGAGATAGACGTATGAGTGAACAGAGACCACTGCCAGACACCATGGTCACAGATCACTGTGGAGATGAGATAGACATATGAGTGAACAGAGACCACGGCCAGACACCATGGTCACAGATCACTGTGGAGATGAGATAGACATATGAGTGAACAGAGACCACAGCCAGACACCATGGTCACAGATCACCGTGGAGATGAGATAGACATATGAGTGAACAGAGACCACAGCCAGACACCATGGTCACAGATCACCGTGGAGATGAGATAGACATATGAGTGAACAGAGACCACGGCCAGACACCATGGTCACAGATGACTGTGGAGATGAGATAGAGATATGAGTGAACGGGGACCATGGCGAGACACCATGGTCACAGATCACTGTGGAGATGAGATAGACATATGAGTGAACAGAGACCACGGCCAGACACCATGGTCACAGATCACTGTGGAGATGAGATAGACATATGAGTGAACAGAGACCACGGCCAGACACCATGGTCACAGATCACTGTGGAGATGAGATAGACATATGAGTGAACAGAGACCACGGCCAGACACCATGGTCACAGATCACTGTGGAGATGAGATAGACATATGAGTGAACAACAATCACAGCCAGACACTATGGTCACACCACAGTTAATGTGCCAACTCTCTTTGCACATAAACTCAGCCATTTTTGTCGATTCATTGTGAACCAGGGATGCCTTTAAGCTCAACCAATTTTGAGAGCAATTTAGGATCAAACTATAGCCAGTGAAAATAATTGGATGTGTTACAGTGATAATAAGGAAAATTATACACAAGTTTTGGGATGGAGAGTAATCCTGACTTTTACCTATTGTGTCTTTCAAGTTTTAACCAAGAACAATGTTCCACAGCCAGTGGTCAACTTTGGTTTACATGGAGGCTTATACTGCCAAAGTATTTGTATACATTACAGGATTCTATGCCATATAATTATATTTATGTTGAATATGTTTTGTAACCTTGATATTGTTTCAAATATTGTGTTCAGTGTGTTGTTATAGGTAAATAGTAACAAATTAGCAGTACATTCTAACAAGGACTCAATATTATGGCATTTTTCCTGTTATTTATAGGGTTGTTCAGCAATTCAGTTTTGGAAAAAATCTCATAGCTTGTGTCATGATTGAATCAAAAGTGAGTGTTTTGTTTTGTGAAATGTTTGTTTACATGATTAAGACTATATGGGTTATTTGACATAGCTACACAGATCAAAGATTGAAGTTCTCTAACATATAGAAGATTAATCATTGATAAGTCATATGTTTTACACACAATGAGGTTCAATGGAATGCAGGTAATTTTACAAAATTACACGTTTCTTATCGTAGGGGGCCTTTGTAGGACTGTGATGAATACTATGCAACACTATAAAAATACATTGAAGCGTAAGTAACCCTACATCAGAGTGTAAGTAACCCTACATCAGAGTATAAGTAACCCCACATCAGAGTGTAAGTAACCCTACATCAGAGTATAAGTAACCCCACATTACAGTGTAAGTAACCCCACATCAGAGTGTAAGTAACCCTACATCAAAGTATAAGTAACCCCACATCAACGTGTAAGTAACCCCACATCAGAGTGTAAGTAACCCTACATCAAAGTATAAGTAACCCCACATCAACGTGTAAGTAACCCCACATCAGAGTGTAAGTAACCCCACATCAGAGTGTAAGTAACCCCACATCAATGTGTAAGTAACCCCACATTACAGTGTAAGTAACCCCACATTACAGTGTAAGTAACCCCACATTACAGTGTAAGTAACCCCACATTAGTGTAAGTAACCCCACATCAGAGTGTAAGTAACCCCACATCACAGTGTAAGTAACCCCACATCAGAGTGTAAGTAACCCCACATCAGAGTGTAAGTAACCCCACATCACAGTGTAAGTAACCCCACATCAGAGTGTAAGTAACCCCACATCAGAGTGTAAGTAACTCCACATCAATGTGTAAGTAACCCCACATTAGTGTAAGTAACCCCACATCAGAGTGTAAGTAACCCCACATCAATGTGTAAGTAACCCCACATTAGTGTAAGTAACCCCACATTAGTGTAAGTAACCCCACATCACAGTGTAAGTAACCCCACATCAGAGTGTAAGTAACCCCACATCAGAGTGTAAGTAACCCCACATCAGAGTGTAAGTAACCCTACATTACAGTGTAAGTAACCCCACATCAGAGTGTAAGTAACCCCACATCAGCATGTAAGTAACCCCACATCAGAGTGTAAGTAACCCTACATCAGAGTGTAAGTAACCCCACATCAGAGTGTAAGTAACCCCTCATCACAGTGTAAGTAACCCCACATCAGAGTGTAAGTAACCCCACATCAGAGTGTAAGTAACCCCACATCAGAGTGTAAGTAACCCCACATCACAGTGTAAGTAACCCCACATCAGAGTGTAAGTAACCCCACATCAGAGTGTAAGTAACCCCACATCACAGTGTAAGTAACCCCACATCAGAGTGTAAGTAACCCTACATCAGAGTGTAAGTAACCCCACATCAGAGTGTGAGTAATCCCACTTTAGAGTGCAAATTCAGCAGCTACAAATGTTTAGAGCTAGCTGTGGGGAGGTACCTGTGTCAGCAGTAGGGACAGTTTTGTGTAAGTTCCTGTGTCAGCAGCTAAATGTATAGGTCAGTCAGTTTGCAGGCTCTTTATGTCAACAGCAGAAAATTTAGGGTCAGCTACTGATAGGTTACTGGTTCCTCTGTCACCAACAAAAAAGTTTAGGCGCAGCTGTTGGCAGGTTTTTCTAGATCTGTCACCAACAGAAAGTTCAGGGTCAGCTACTAATAGTTTTTATGTTCCTTAGTAACAAACACAAAAGTTTTAGGTCAGTTAGTGTACAGGTTCCTTGTGTTGACAGCAAAAATAGGGCCAATTATGTGCAGGTTCCCCTGTCAACAACAAAAAATTAAGAACTAGCTATGTGCAGGTTCCCCCGTCAACAGCATGAAATTAAGAACCAGCTATGGGTGGGTTTCCCATTCAATAATAAAAAAGAGCTGGCTCATGTGCAGATAATTCTTAAGAGTCAGCTTACTGGTTATGTGTCAACAACACTATAGACTGAAAATACAATGTTGTTGAAATGTGGTATCCAATGTCTTGTTGCTAATTTATTGTATGTTTAATGATCATCTTTCCAGCTGTTTATATTATATGTTCCAGTATACAAAGATCTATAAAACAGATATTTTCTCGGTCAGTTTAATTTTCTGTTTTAAGTTTGCCGCAAAGTGGACCACAGAATGTTGTAATGAATCATTATCTGAAAAGATAAATTGAAAACAGATATATTTATTTTTACTTACAGTTCAAATTTTTACTGAAAACGTGTTTCTGTCAATGTCAGACTTTACTTATCTATAGACAGAGAGGCCTAGGAGATATTTTCTGGAGTGATAATCCTCATTTATCATGGTTGGTTTTTCCTGTGTATGGTGTTGATTTATACTGTTAAATATTGTTATGGTTTTGTTTGTTGATTTATTGTTACAATGTTGCAATATTTGTACGTACTGGGTTACCTTCCTTGTTACCGGACTGTGATACTAGTATCTAGATAAAGGTTTTATCACTGCCATAGGGACCTGTCAGACTTCAGATCTCCTACAAATACACGGTGAATTTAGTGGTGTTGTCACTCTGATTCATCATGGTTAGGAGTCTGGTGCCTCTCTTTACCTCCATTGACAAAAAAGTTTGAACTCAAAGAAGACATATTGGGGAGAGGATATCGAGAGGTCAAAGGTTACTTTATGTGCGATCATATCTTGGCTGCATACTAGAACCTGTGATTGAGATTTACCTTGATATCTGAAAGAGCTTTTTGTTAAAATTTTAAGAAATTGACAGATTTTTTTTATTAAATTATGTAAATATATCTCGTATATGATAAAACTAAAACAGCTTTAATTGATCAATGATTTGATCAAAAATGTTCTTATCTTGATCCGATTTATAATGAAATACAAAAAAAAATTCTTTTAAAACGTAATTAAAGATTCATTAGATTCTATCTATAAAACATAAAGTGAAATTAAAGATTCAAGGTAACTTTTTGTCACAGATAAAACTTTCACTACAAAAAATAAAGAGATTTTGTACAATGGACTGTTTGTTCTTTATGTGTTGTCAGTTTATTCATTTAACTTGGAAGTAAAATCTCTGTGGATGGATGTGACTCAATAAAAAAAATTAGGGTTTTCAATTTAAACTACATCCGCCCTAAATTTTTTGTTTTGTTTTTTGTGAAGTTTGTAAAAGTTAAGTTAAAGATGATGATTAGGTATAAATTGTACCATATTCCAACTTCATTCAAGAATCCT